ATTTTACTAATAATTGAAGGATATGTGATGTAATTTATCATCAAAGAAAGAGTGATTTATTTATTTTAATCAAAAAAATTATTTCACAACATCGGGGTTTAAACGCATTACTTTACTTAATCTATTGATAACGAACATACACCCTGCAAAAGTGCATGTTTGAACCCGAATCATCAAAGAAGAATAACATTCTCATTTATCATTAAGACCACTCAATAATTTTATTTACCATTAATTATTTGATATAACTAATGACATTATAAAAGTATAAGAATTAAGTTATGCCAAGATAAAGAATAAGGACTAAATTGTAAATTTGAACATAGTAAAGGATTCAAATTAGTAATGCGATCCTTAATTGTTAATGGGAATCAAGTTTCCTCGGGCTGTGCGCGTGTCGATTGTGGGGGTTAACTTTTGTGTTTCTTTAAGCTTGGAGAGTTGAAGTGTCAAGTGATTAATGTAAGATTAACTCTCAAATCATGAACCAATAAGGAAGAACCTAAGTGTTATTATGTAAAAATAATGAAAAGAATTTTTTTAAAATAACCTGGGATGATTATAAGAATGAGTGAGTATTCGATCGAATTAAGTCAAAAATAATTTTAAATTATTCGAGTTGATGAGTTTTATTTTATAACTCAAACTCGTTTTGAAATTTTTTTCGAGTCGAGTTGTTCGATTTTTTTATTGAAATCTAATTATAAACATTTATAATATTATGATACTATTTGATCCGGTTTAAACTGTTTCCTATAAACATATACGATACACATATTTTTTTATATGTGATATACATATATCATAGGAGTCGAGAGACTCGACTCAAACTTAAAAATCAAACCACTAATTACTACACATTTTGAGTAATTTATAACTCGTTCGAATTTAAAAAAAAATTGAGTCGCTTTTATAAAATTATAACTCAAATTCAATTTGAGTCGAGTCGAAGAGAACGATTTTTCGAGTCGAATCGAGTTTTACTCTCCCTTAATCCCTTAATTATAATGTAATACTTGTTCATAAATTTCTCAACTAATTGACAACACATTGTATACACAATTATTCGAACCTAAAACCTCTAAAAAAATATTTTTTTATCATATTGAGGTCACTTCACGAGTTAAAAAGAATTTTAAACTTTGGGGGACATTTAGCGGTCCAACTTGTAATACATGTTATATGAAGGTTTTATTTTGTACAATTATACATATAAAGTTATGATTTAATTCAATTTTCACATATTACTAAAACTGTTATCGATGAAATATCATTTCACTTTTATGTATTATAAAAACGAAATAATTATATTTATCCTTCACGACAATAAATAGGCGCAATTATATATTTTATCCCTCCATGTTACAAAAACGATCAAGTTAGTCCACGTACTTTAATTTGTCATAATTTACATATTTTACGAAAACGACGAAGTTAGTTCAACTTAATACTCCCGTTATATGCCTTGCATTTAAGTCACAGAAAATACGATGATTGATTTTTTATAAACTAAAGTTGAAGGGTTAACTTCTCAATTTTCATAAAGTACATAGATGAAACTCACGATTAGACCAAAAAATGTAATTAAATAGCTTCTAGAACACTTCCTTTATCGTCATCCACTTTTTAGGCTATTTAATTGAGTTGTTACACACTCTTTAGCAAATTTAGACTTTTATGACCGTCGTTTTGTTTTCTCAATTGACCAACACTCTTTGTGGATTCTAGGTTAAAGTGTAATTGGATTATATGACAACTTTTCGAAACAGCCATACCATCCTACCTATTAAACTTTGAAAATAAATCGAGGACGATGCATCCCCGATACCTCTAATCGTTGGCTTTACTTTGAAATGTTGATGTAACAGATTTTAGGCTGCTCAATGCTCATGCCTAGGAGGTATAAATACACCTTCAGATGGCTCAGCCGACTATGAATCTTAAGTGAAACTACAAGGTATTTATTCTTTCAGACCGTATCATCAAGCAGTGGCCGATCTCGACCCTTATAGGAATTCGAGATACAGGAAACCGAGACTTACCCAGGCCAGCATCATCAAATACCTAACTCGAGCAACTCGGTGAGTTTAACATAGTCTTCAGTAACAAATGGTAACAATACATGAAGCATATACAAGAGAATCTGGGGACGACAGGAAGAATCATTCCTACCATTTCAACGCTATAGTGGTAACAGCAACTAACATGATGCAACTAAAGGATGTACACTTTATGCACTGACAATCTAACCTACACTATACACTAGATGGTGAAATGTTTACCATGGATTCCGGTTTCGTACTGTATCAATGTTTACCATCGGTGTTGAGCATAAAGCAGCTCACTCTACCGACATACTCTCCTGCAATCTCATAAAAAATGCGGACCATTCTACAGGGAACATACCAGCTTGCATAAACTCGACAAGAATGGGGGTGCAACTATTCAATATTGATTTCTCCTATTTGTCTCGAGTAACCAATGCAGCTGCACATGATCAACAACAAAAACATTGCACATTTTCCCTTCAAATGTTCTAGGCTACAATCATTGAGGTGTCAACAGAACTCAACAGGAATAAACTAGAACAATGCATCGAAATATAGTGACAAATGTGTTATGATATTTAAATTGCTCTTAATACATGACAAAACAATTGATCAGTTCTGCAGTTATGAGGTTACACTTACAAGAAGAATTCACCAACTCAGCCTTACAAAATCTTGTCTCAGGCTCTTAAGTCTATTATTTCAAACATAAATTTTAGATAGAGAGTCAAATTGCTCTGCTATTGCTTCTGCCGTAGATCCGGTATCGGATTCATCCAGCCAAACTTATAAACAGAAAGAGAATAATACCCAGTCTATGTATAATTGATGCTAAAGGGGAAAAAAAGGGAGTAAAGAACCACTATTAACTATCAAAGTTTCCATCAAATGTGAAACAGAAGTTCACCATTCCACTTTTCCAGACTTTCCTTCTAATATTTTGAATGTATCAAAATATCAAAGGAAGATCACCTTGCCTGGAAGCTGCGTTTTCAGGGATCTTAGAATCATCCGATTCCCGACCAAAAGGATCAAGCATTGGCAAAAGTGATACTCAAAGCTCACAATTATAAATCAATCTTTTACCGAAAGGCGAAAGTTCATTTCCAATGTTTCAATACTAGTTCCAAAGCACCACTCCTTCAAAATCAAACTGTTTCCTAGAGTTGGTAGCTAGTTACTAGCTCTATTGATGCACACGATCTCAATCATGGAACACTATTCATCCAATAGAATAGATTTTATTATAAATTTAGTGAGCAAAACAAACAATTATATACGTAAAAAGTATATATATGTATGTATAAGTTCTAATAAATAGTATTTGATTCCAACTAAACGAACCAGAGAATAACAGTTTACCACCTCACTTTCGTTCCTGGTACCGAACCGATTCGAGATCCTAGTACACTGCTAGCTACAACCGCAACCAAGTAAGCATTCCCAAGAAACAAAAACCCTAATTAAAAATGGGTCTGTTGAAAACCCAGCAATTCCAACAGTATTATTAAGTAGTAAAAACAAAGAGAAAGATAATTTAACCTTTTAATTCACGGGCATCGGAGAGGGCACATTACGAGCAAGCTTAAAGGACCCATTTATTGAATCAAGAGAGGTGTTTAAAGAGTTTGGCTTAGACGGAAAGTGAGAAGAAATGGCGCGTGGGTGAGCTAGTATCGAAGTAGACGAAGCCACTGAAGAAGAAGAGAAAGAGAAAAGTGAGGTGTTCACTGTTTAGTTGCGAGGACTCGAATGTTTTTGTATATGAAAAACAAGTTTTGGGCTTTTTTATCCGATTTACGACTCAGTTGGATCGCCAGCCACTCAGTGAGTCAGTGAAAGGGATGGGCCCAATGTCAGACTAAAGAATCCGACCTTACAAAATAATCTCCGGAGGGACTCAAAGAACCCACCACTCTGTCCCCTCGCTTTTTTTTAGGATTCCCAACTAGCGCGATTCGAACTTAGGACATGAAACCAGCTCATAATTCCAAGAGCCCTTGCTTTACCAAATTCTACACTATTATAGTCATACCAGATTATTTTTAAAAATCATTAAAAATTTTAGATTCACTTATCAATATAAAATTCAAAAAAAATGTTTTCTGAATCATCGTATTAATTAAATTTAATAATTGAGATCATATTTTTTGAATTAAAAATACTTTACTTTTTTCATAAAAAATATTCGTTTTCATTAATAAGGATTCCAAATTTTTGACCATCGAAAATTATATTTTATCTAATTTCTGAAAATATTTTATACAAAATAATCTAAATACCAAAAAAATTTATTTGGTTCACCATTCGCAAACTCTGTGTATTCCATTGTAGATCATGTGTTCACTGTCATGAACCGGACCTTTTCTTTCCTGGAATCCGAATAAAGCATAATATTGCGATGGAAGAAGACGATGGGAATAAAATAAAAACCGGATATTCTCCATTGTTATATAATCATGTTCGATTCGGTTCGGTTCAACAAGATAAGCATGTTAGTTAAAAAGATCATAGTTATGCAGAAGCGAACTGCACAATTGGATTACCTGGGTTTCACTTTCACCAAACATCATCTTTCTTTTCTTTTGCCACTCATTGTCCTCCAATGGCTTTTTCGTCCCTTTATTAAAAGAAGCAAAAGGGTATTATAGTTCTATGCTTTTGAGGTGCCGAGTCGAATTAAAATAGTGGTCGGGATAAGGATGGATCGAGGGAGTGTTGGAATTGATCGTGCAACAAAACGAGAGTCCTGAGGCCTTTGTTGTTTTGGACATTTTACAATGCTAAATGTGCGCATCTTCGTTTTTTCATTAAGGTTGTTTCTTGAGTAACTCCGACTCGAACTAGCAAAATGTTCGATGCACCTTGCGTTCCAGCCCTGATCTTATACTCCAAAATGGGGTTCGATTCGACTCGACGCCAAACTTAGTCAGACTCGGAGACATGCATGCATACATGGAAACAAAAATCTTTGCTTATAGATGGAGGTTGTGTTCAAGGTTGCATACCCTGATAGGCAAACTGAAGATCAAGCCAATTAGAGAAATCTAATATACAGAGTGAAACTAATAGTATGATGTTTCATAATTTACATCTCAAAAACTCTTTGCTTCTTCTATACATACCGATGATCGGTGACATCGCAATCCTCGTATCGTACCACCAGGCGAGGTTTTCTATCTCAGTAAACGTTTCTACTGTCGGCAATTCGAGGTTCTACCAAGGGCTGGTTATTGTTCTTCTCAAGCATTGTCTTTTACTTCCCCAAGGTCGATTCACTTTGTCTAACATCTGTTTGAATTAGGCAACGGAAGAATCGAACAACATCAGGGTTACAATACTACCAACCAACTTCAATTATTATGCACACGCCATCATGCTATTGTTTCCGAAAAGTTTCGGTTTCTTTAGGCTTTTTGACACTTCTAAGATCGAGTTTGCTGTTTGTGAATGCTAATGTAAATGCAAATTGGGAATGGGAGAAAGGAGCATTACCTGGTTGTTCTGCAATTCCATCATCTCTTCCTGCACCGGCCAAAGTACAGTTAAGGTATGTCATCAACATCGACCCAACGTATTCAATACAACACAAGGAAATCTTATTCGGTCAATAAGACGAACCTGATTCTTCTGCAATTCTCGGTTCATTTCTTTAAGTTTAGCAACCTCAGCCTCGAGTTCCAATGTATAGGCCTGCATGAGACCCGGCATAAGTTAATATACAATCTAGTCTTGTACAATTGAATGGTATATGGCAATTGTTCCAACTCACCTGCTTGCGAGCTCGTGACCTCGCGGCTGACTCTCGGTTCTTAATCATTCTCCTTTGCCTTCTCTCAACTACTTTCTCCACAGCCGGGCTGCATTTTCTTCCCTGGCCAAATGCGCAAGGAACCGGTGATAGCGGAGCGGATTGCAGCCCGGTGGATTGAACCAGATTACCATTCATAGAAGGAGCAATCCCAACTGTTTGTTGCTTGGGAAAGAGCGGTTGTTTCTGTTGTTGTTGTGATGATGATTTGAATCCACTCATGTTCAAAGGTAACCTCGGAGTCTGATTAAAAACCGAGTTACCGTTATCGTTCAAAGTCACCTGTTGAAACCCGAGAACCGAAGCACAGTTGTTACCAAACAATCCACCATTGTTTGCCATTCCAATCTGTGCCTTCAACAAAAACTCCTCCAGTGTCATCGCTCCGAATGTCGGTCTCCTCATCGGCGAATTCGCTTCTCCATCTTTAGCATCACCGGTTTCTTTCATCAAGTACTTCCATACATCATCAACCGTCTTCGAACTCAGAGTTCTCGGCAACGGCAACGTCAACGATGATCCTTGTTTCTGCAAATTCCCACCAGGAACAACATCTCCTTCTCCCGAAGGAACCGAAGCCGCCACCGCGGCCTGATTCTCATCGGCAGTCAAGATATTCCTCAACAGTTCATCCATGTTCATTGATCCAAAGTCCTTCCCAAGTCCACCAAAGGTGTTCTGCAACTCATCAAAGGTCAATGAGTATATAGATGACTGCCTAGCCAATGGGAAATCCCCAACAGGCTTCGACCCGTTTCCTTCCATTCTTGGACCACCATCACCAAAGTTCTTGAAATTCAGACGAGACCCCATTCTTTCCCACAATTTTGCCCTATAAATCCATCAACTGAAGTATATGAGATGATCTAAACCAAATTTATCAAACTAGCAAGAGAATATGAACCATCTATGGGAACCAATAAAGACTAAACCTTTAACAAATGGTGGAAAATATACAATCATACACAAACAAAACGAACTCTCCTGCAAATCCATACAATTTATGCAGATAATATGGATAAAGCTGAAATAATACATTTTTTGTCGTTTTTCTGGAAAAATAAAACCCCAGATCCAAGCTATTTCCCATAAAACAACCCAAAATTCAAAGCTTTAACGGAATCTAAAATCAACCCCATTTTCAACCATAAAATCTATAAGTGACAGCAATTCAACAAAAAAAAAGGTAAAACTTAAATTTCTTTATAAAAAAAAGAAGCTTTCACTACAAAAATATCTCTTTAACCCATTCAAATAGTTCCCTTAATTAAGCAAAATAAACATAAGAAAACGACAAGAGAGACAGAGAGAGAGAAAGAAGGTAGTAATGATAATAGAGGAAGAGAACGAGAATGCTGATTTTGTTTTTACCTTTTGATTTTATTTTTGCAATATTTTATAGTTTAAAACAAAATTAAAAAAAACGTTGGAAATCGATAGAGATAGCTTTTATGGAGCGAAAACAAATCTGGAGGGGAAATCTTTTAGCTTCGTGGAGAAGACAAAGTGTCTAGTTCCGCCTCTACACAGGTTGATATTTAAGGTGATTTCCCAAGAATTTTGGTGGATTTAGCTATCTGCCTAATTTCAATTTCGTCCCATTATTCAATGAAATATAGACCTTCTATTTTGATTTGATTCTGATATCTTACAAAAGTTGAGAAGTTAGTCCGATTGGATAAACACTGCATACGGATGGAAAAAATAACTAAAATTGATAGTTTCTAACCTAATTTTGTAAGATTAGATTTAATTTTGATATTTGGGTTCAAGACGATTATGAGCGTTCTTGGTGGATGAAAGATTGAGATAGATTAAAAGTCATGTTTAAGATGCAGATGAATGATTGACTTAAGTGATAAAAAATAATGTTATTCTCTTTATAAATCTCGGGTTCAAACAGTTGTGTCTACAACGGGTATATGTGTTGTCAATAATTAAAAAATATTTTAAATATATACGATATTAACTTATAATCATCTCATATTATTAGAAAAAAAATCTAAGATGCAATTGTACCTAGGGATGGGCATTGGTTGGGTTGGGTCGAGTTTTTGGTCCACCCGACCCGACCAGATAAGAAGGGGACCTCCACCTGTGACCCGACCCGATAAAATTAATTTTTCACCCGACCCGACCCGATAGATAGTTTAAAAAACCCGATCCGACCCGAAATAATAAAAAAATTATTTTTATTCAATAAAAATAGTGACTAAATTGAAAAAATAATATATAGAGGGTATTATTGTAATTATTCCTAAATATATAGGGTAAAATTATATATTTTTTCCGGGTCGGGTCAGGTCAGATTTTTTCACCTTAAATCCAAACCCAAACACCACATAAAAAAATTCGACCCGACCCGAACCCGATTTTTTTAAGAAAATACGACCCGATTGGTCGGGTACGGGTTAGATGCCCATCCCTAATTGTACCAACCCAAGATATTTAAAAATACTCATATATATATATATATATATATATATATATATATATTTATGAAAATATCGCTACTTTTTTTTTCCTTGTCAATGATTCTTCTACTTTAACGTTATACTATATTTACTTTAATGTTTTGAAAAAGATTTCAAGAAGCTGTTTGGAAATTTCATTTTATTGGCTGTTGTTGTTATTAATATTATATAGGGACGTTTATTCAATTATCCCTATATTTAACATGTAGGTGATGGTTTTGTTTGATGATGAATTTGTTTGGTTGTCGAGAAAATGTAGGAATGAGTGAGAAAAATTAAAAAAAAAGTTGAACATTTGAATTCTTATAAATTTATTTAATTTTTTAATTCAGTCAAAATAAGATAAATATAACCATCCCTAACTATATTATTATCGTTAAATTGTTGAAAATCAATAGCGTTGTCATTTATACGTGAGGATGAATTAGTAAAAATCTATAGTTGAAGAACTTACGTGCAACAAATTAGCAAATATCAGATCCTTAATCTTTGTACAAGTACAAGATCAGATTGTGATGACATTTAGTAGATGTATGATATTTAATTTATAAAGTAGAGGGATGATAATTAAATCATACCTCTACTGTAATTAGAGATGAACATGGGTCGGGTTTTTGGTCTATCCGACTCGACCCAAGAACAAGAGAGCCTCCACCTGAGACCCGATTTGATCCGACCAAAATAAGGTTTCACCCGACCCGATCCGAATATATGAAATAGAAACCCGACCCGAAATAAAAAAAATTATTTTTATTCAATAAAAATAGTGACTTAATTGAAAAAAATTATATATAGAAGGGTATTATTATAATTATTCCTAAATATATAGGATAAAATTATATATTTTTTCGAGTTGAGTCGGGTCGGATTTTTTCACCCTAAACTCAAACCGACCCCAACACAACATAAAAAACCCGACCTGACCGGATTCGAATTTTTAAAAAAAAATCCGACCCGATCGAGTCGGGTCGGTTTAAATGCCCGTCCCTAACTGTAATATGAGTGGACGAGATTGCTTTAGCATTGGAGATGGCGCAACGTGGACCAATGAAAGTGGGAATCGGATTTTTTGACTTGACGTCTACCGAATTCGCAAGAGAAACATGGGGCACTTTCTAGCCGTCAGATGTGCTTTCCGACAAGGTGATCGGATGGTGATGATTGCTTTGAGTTATAGGATTATTTTTTTACAAAAAGCTATAAATGAGGAAAATTAAGAAAGATCATCCCCGTTGCTTAAACTCGATTCCTCCCTATTATAAAATATGTAATTAATAAATTTCAACGTAAAATATTTAAACGATTAAAATATTTTTAATAAATACATATAGGAAACAGTTAATTACAATTATTAAAAAGGTAAATATGTTTTTTGGTACTCAAAATTTTTTCCAATTATATATTTGAATGGTTTTAAATAATAACAATTTTTTTAAATACTGTGAATTGATTATAAAATAGTTTTATATATAATTTTTTAATAACTAATAATATATACATCTTATAAATGTAATTGGTCGAATTAAGGATCTCTTAAGGAGAATAATATTCTCCTTAGAACATTGATATTGTTTGATAGATTCATATAACATTGGTTTTTAAATTAAAATATTTCACTTTTATTTAATAATAAACCATATATACTTGTCCGATAAATAAAGTTGACTTGAGCAAACATATTGACCAATTGATCAAGTTGCTTGTTTTTGTTCCATTATATTCTCTTAGATCATGAGTTTTAAACTCATTAAGAACACTATTTATTCCCTAGAATTTCTCTTTCCTTCCCATCTAAATACGATTAGAGTTAAATTTAGTATTTATATATAAAAAAAAAGGATAAATTATGCATTTAGTACTTAAATTATTAGTTTGATATATTTTAGTACCTAAACTTTTAATTTTTTTAAAATCATACTTAACGTTTGATTTTTGTTTCATTTTAGTACTCCCACCGTTAAAAACATAATGCGTTTAGTACCTAAACTATCAGTTTCAGTCCTTTTTAATAGCTAAACTTTCATTTTTTTTAAAACTTAATGTTAAGTTTTTAACGGGATTCTAAAATAAAATAAAAACTAAATATTATATATGATTTTAAAAAATTGAAAGTTTAAGTATTAAAACATATCAAAATTAATAATTTAGGTATCAAACAAGTAGTTTACCCAATAAGGAAAGTGGACTTTACAAGTGTTGTACGATCACACATATCATCACATGCGTGTGTATCGAACGCACGTGATCATAATGCAAATTAGCATCTTGCTTTATGACGTCAGTAGAGTAGAACATGGTCTCAATAATAATGAGCAGAGGAAAATATTTGACCAGCGATTAAATGTGGGGTTTTGAGACGCACGGCGGGGCCGCCCATGCTTCCTTCACTTGCACGCCCACATACTGTCATGGTGGGCCCGCACGTATGTAATCTAGGTTAGTTTGACATTGTTTTAAAAGAGTAATTTTTAAAAATATTGTGAAACGAATTTTTAAAATTGTTTTTTTAAATATAATTTAAAATTTAATTGTTTGAAATTACTATTTAAAAAAAAAATTAAAAATATAAAATATTTATTATAAATATTACATTATAAATAAAAATATAACATTTAAATTATATTTATACTTATTAACCACAGTCACTAATTTAAATTTAAAATAACATAATTTAAATGATATATTTATTCTATTAACAATTACAAAATAAAAAAATGATATATATTATAAATAAATTCAAAAATTATTATTATATAAGAATTATGTCAATTTAAATTATAATAAAATATAAAAATAAAAATAAAAAGTAAATATAATAAAAATATATTTTATAATAGCTCATTATTAATATTTTAATATATACATTATGAATTTTATTTATTTTTAATTAGTTAAAATAAATTATTAAAAGTAATAATTAATTTTTAAGAATATTAGTATTAAATTATTAAAGTAAAATGTAAATACATAATTGAGTGTAACTTATACATTAGTAAATGTAAAAGTATAAATTTGATTCTAAACGCAAAGTAAAAATGAAAAAAAAAACTAGAAATTATAGCTTTTGTAGTTTGTTTAAACTATCGTTTCCACTGTAATTTTTAAATTGTTTTACTCGTTTAACATTAAATTTTATGATTAAAACAAAATTTTTAACTAAAAGTACTTTTTAGACATCATTATTAAATGTGCCTTAATTTCACATTTCATTGAGTAATTTGTACGTCCTCTTCCCTGTGTCTACCATGCACTTCTCGTTGAGTTTGAGTAGTAAGAAATTCTTGGAAGAAATTAAATTGTTGAATTTTAAAATAATAAATACTTGAAAATTAGTATGTAAATTAGTCAAAAAATAATTTTATAAGTTGTATTATGATTATGATAAATTCGTATCTATAAATACATTTAAAAATAAAAATTTAAAAATTAAACATTTAACGTTATGTAAAAATTATTTCTAAAGACGGAACTATGATCAAATATTATCTCATAATATTTTTTAAATTTGATACTTTCCTTTTTCTGCGCAATCTCATAGTGCTGCTTCATAAAAACGACCGAATATGGGAAAAGTTATCAAGTTCGGTAACAAACATGGACTAAAAAGTTCAGGGTCTATTTTGAAAGAAATAATAAATTTAGGGACTAAATTCTACTTTATGCCAAAAGGAATTACAGGACCAGATCGCAGTAATCAGATCCAGAAATGTA